GGGGGGGGGGGACAGATGAGATTCGACAAGTAAGTCACTTAAGCCTGACAATGGCTGATAAATAAACTGAGAGGCACCTGCATCCCAAATCTGAGTCATTACTCTGAGAGGAGAGACACACACACAAGCTTCCCCGAGGACACCGTGAGGTGGTGACCCGTTTTTTTTCTAAAGTGGTGTTCTTCTTCTTCTTCTGCAAACTCCCCCACGGCTCAGCCATGCGGTACCTACTTCCTGAGCACGGCGATTTCATTCTCGATACTTGTCTCCTTTCCCTTCAGCGCCTTTTTCGGGATGCACTTGATCGCCACCATCTTTCCTGTGGCCTTCTCCCGACCCATCACCACTTCAGAAAACGCTCCGCTGCAAGAGACAGAGAGAAACATGTTAGTTCTGCATATGCACTCAGTCAATATTGACACCAGAAAACCTATTGTCAGTGAGTAGATAGAGGGCACTCAGAGGCAGACAGGCCAGAGTACACAAATAGCATATTGGGAATATTTGCTGAGAACTGATAAAGTCCCCGACTATGGCCAACAACCGTCTGTGTTGGCTTACGCTCGGTGCTCGTGTGCAGCCAAAAGCACGGCAAACACCCATTTAGGACGGCAGAGAGCGTGTCTTCCTCGGACCATCTGTCTCCGTACATGAGAGCCTTTAAAAACAAATGCGGAATTAAGGGAATATTTGCTCAAGCAATCTGTATCTGTTGCTATGACACCACATTCAATCCACCTTAATAAATCTCGCTGAGCAGGCAGCGTGATTGCTTCCAACCCTCCTTTCTTGTTTTTATTACACACCTTCACGGGCACCTTTTTTTCCCCCTCCGTGCAGCCTCAGAAGGGTTTAATGCGAACACGTTAAAGGATGGTTTGACTTGAAACTCTCAGGGTCATGGACCAAAACAACTACTGTGATCTAAAAAGAAAATCCTTGATCCACTGATGAAGTCATGACTGTGATGAAAGCTTGTTTGCTGCAAAAGGATCAGCATACGAAATAAAATAGTGAACTGAGCCTGAGGCCAAAGTGCTGAGATTTTTTGGAGAGCTGCGATCCAACTGCAGTTCATAAATTCTTGATCGACTCTTCTGTTTAGACAAACATGCAGTTTTCCATTATTATGGTCTACAGCTAATAACTACAGCTCTGTGGTTTGACATTTTCTCTTACTTTTTGTCCTCAGAACTTTATCTTTACCATCATTAATTAATTAATCCATTGAGAGGGCCGTCATTAGATACACAACACAGCAAAATGCTCTGTAAACGATATACGTATGTAATGAGTTAGATCTTATAGGCACATACTGTATTAAATTCAAATATTTAACATTTCACATCACAGTCTTGGGATAAAGGTCCATTTTTTTCAATACTGTTTATTTCAATCTTGACCATTTCAATGCAGTCCTTTTTGTTGGAGCCATTTCTGTGTGAAGACTTTCTTGCTTGTTGCTTTTTAAGGAAATATTCATGCCATAAATGTGGCAAACGGTGATGTTGCCAAAGGTATAATGTAACAAAAGATCAATCAACTTCTAATCCACCATTATCTCTTTAGTAATCTCTCGCCAAAAAAAAAAATTAAAAAAAGGACAAGCCCAGAGAATATGAAAAGAGCAGCCATCTGCCTCCTGCGTTATAATTTCCTTCCTTTCTGACAAAATGTTTAATTGCAGAAATAAGCGTCTTGTTGGATCGTCATTACACAAAAGTGAAAGTGACATAATATGTCTTAAGTGATCCACCGCCTTACAAAAAGAAAGACGGCCAACATTAAAAGGTCCATTATGTACTTAAAGTGTAATCAGTTCCTCCCAACGGGCTCTAAACTCTGCGTAATAAAGTCATCGTTAATAATGAACGTCGTGTTTGATACTCAAGATCTTCCTCTGTAATCTTCCTCTATGAACTCAGACACATTTGGTGGAAAGCTTTAGAAGTTTTATTTTTCAGACTTAGTTATAACGCTGCGGGTGCTGCTCCCTCTCTCTCTCTCATCAAATTTACTTAAAGTCCGACATCCACGCTAATCTCTCACTCCACCATCACACGGGGGGAGGGTCAGTCAGAGCCACAACACATAAACACCGACTGTGAACAAACATACCACCGGGTCGTAAAGCCCCGGCCCCAGGTGATGTGAGGTTGAACACACTCAGAGGGCTTGGAGCGCACGTCGCACCGACTTTGACCTCGTTCTGATGTGGGGCAATATGTAAATTCGTGGCCTTGTGTAAGTGAGGGAGTGTGTGCATTACTTGCTGGCCTGTCACACCACTATCTTCCCACCACAGCTGTTGCTGTGAGGACCATGAGCATCATTTCTGTTCAGCGCATGCAACCAAACTCCCCGGCTGTGTGGACATGAGGAGAAGAGAAAATTCCTCCGCCAGCACACAGAGTCTGTCAAAAGACTCTCTTGCTTGCTCGTTGTTTTTTTGTGTGTGTTTTTTTCAAAGCACGCTTTCTGCAGCAGGTGACACACAATGACAAAAACCACAGGAAACCTGTGAACTCACTGAGAGGGTGGTTGGAGCATGTAGCACCATTTCTGTCCCTCTGCGAACCGCATTGACAAGCAGCAACATCACTTCCTGTGAATGACAACATGACAGAATCCAAGCCTGTGACTTCCCTCGCTCCGACAACGCACGAAGCGCGGCAAACTGTGCTGCAAGCATTCAATCTATTAATTCCTAATTCACAGGAAAGAAGAAGGTGTGATGCGCGTTGGAGACATATGGTGATGCTACTGCCCACATGCTCTCTCTGCACATACATACACACAATGATAAAGAAAGCACACATAGCTCCAGAGCTGAAGCCATTAATAGATTATTCGTGTCAGTCATTTTTCAAGCAAAATTTCAAAACATTTGCTGGTTCCAGCTTTTTCAAATGTGAAATGTTGCATTTTGCTTTGTCATATATGATAGAAAATGAAATATCTTTAGGTTTTGGACAAATAAAGCAATGTGTTATTCATTATTTTTTCATAGACTAAACGATTAATCGACAAAATGATCAGAACCGATGAGTAAAATAATGGTTAGCTGGAGGGCTACAAAACTCCACCATCTATGTGACAACCAGCACACGTAATTTATCTAAATAATCCTCGATGTGATGATGAGCATTAAGTGATGAGAGAAACCTCCATCTCATCCTTTATTGAAAACTAACTCTATTACGCAAGATAAACAGGAGTGTAGGGCTGCAAAATGCATCTGACCCAGTGCCACAGACTGCACAATCAAGTCAGCACACTGACTCACTTGGTTGAATAATAATATTTGAATTTTAAGTTCTTCCCAGAGCCACCAAGCTCCCTCTTCACGGCTCTTGGATGACAGTATGAAGTGTGTGTGTGTGTGTGTGTGTCTGCAGTCACAAAACACCACTACACTATGTTTAGGACAGCCGAGTCAAACCGGCTGACTAATGTGAATGTGGGCGGCGCTCAGTGTGAAACCTGCGGCTGATGCTACAGATGCAAAGTGAAGTCGTGTATCAAACAATCCAGAAACAGAAAACTTTTTCAGGCCGCGACCTCAGCCGGTCGACCTTTAGCGATTATGAACATTAAGAGGGGGGGGGGGACTGAGGCTGGCTTATTGACATTCACTTTATTGCGCTGGGTAATCACACTGAATCATCTCGTGTAAGATGCATTACAGTGGCCCGTTACGCAACATATGGGATGGAAAAGTCAGACTTGATAATCCAGGTGGAACAATAACTGGAGCGACCTACTGTGTTCAAAGTCACCCTTCAACGACAGCTTCAACCAGACACATGACAGATCATACAATCTATACTTTCAGAAAAATGCAGGTAAAATGAATGACTACAGCTCGGGTATATCGGACAATCACAGATTCTCCTAATCACGAGTCATCAGAATAATTGTACAGTAAACATAAATGTGCACGGTTAAGCTGGCAACAGATATTTGTAAAGTTACACAAAACCCTTCTTTTTAACAGATATCACACCACCATCTGCTAAACTGTGATAAGCTACTCTCTTGTAGACTGTAGTGTAAACAGGTGCTACTTTCTGCAATGTGCGCTTTATTATTGTCATCATCATCATCATCATCATCATCACGTGGAATACACCAGTACTGGCCTTTCTGCTTCAGGATCAGTGATCTGTAAGTTAAATAGTTTGCTGTAAAGAATCTTTGTAAGGGCAATACTGGAAGAAGTATTCAGATACTTTAAATAAGTAAAAGCTGTGATACAATAGTGTAGAAATACTCCATTACAGTTGGGCTAATACTGGATTTTTGAGGCCAATACCAAAGTGAAAAAAAGTATAATTTCAAGATACATATCGGCTGATATTTTTGTTGTCTTGTCATTAAACAAGCCTTCATTTTTTTAATTAAAGATCTGTTTTAGGGTTAAAAAATGTTGATCTATTATAGTTACAAGCAAAAGTCCTGCATTCAAAAGGTTAAAACATACTAAAACACTGTGAAACGTATAGAACGAAAAAGTACTCAGGCAGAACGTCCCCCATCAGCATAACATTATTAGTTATAAATAGAATATTTTTACCGGTTCAATAGCCAACAAGCAGCATTTCAAAGCTGCAGCTGGTCCAGGTGGAGCCAATTTAAAATACTTTACCTCCTCATGGGTAGTTTATTCTAAAATGTACCGTATTTTATAAGACGATGCTTTCTGTGTGAAATCTCAACTAAGCTGAACCGATATGTCAAATAATCAATTGACAAATATAGTCAGCCTCCATTTTGATTCATTTAAATCACTTTTCAAGCCCAATTGCCAAACAGCTTACATGTAAAGATATGTTGCTGTTCGTTGTCTTATTTGAGAGTAAACAGGATATTTTCATGCTTTCAAACATGTTGCCTCCATCTTAAGAAAAAGTTAATAAAGCAAAGTAAAGTATGAATACCTCAGAACTGTCCTTCAGTTACTTTCCACCAGTACATCAATGCAGCTGGTTTTCATGTCTGGTTCTTGCTGCCTGACCAGCCAGCACTGGTTCTCTGTCCTTCCAGGTAATAAACTGCATCGATCTGGTGCTGTGGAGTTAAATCAACTCCAATAATACAATTTGAATGAAATCCAGAAGCTCTCACAGTCCCACCGAATGACGCTGGAAACCATTACCCAACAACACACATGGACCTGAGGCTACTTTCCAGGAATGTGTGCCTCAGACTGATGATCAAACAGAGAAAGGTGGTCCGTTTACAGGGTGATAAGAGCCGATGCCACTCATAAACAACTAAAAACAGGAGACATATCCATCGCTCGGGGGAAATGTTTGGCAGAAATCTGTCTGAAGCCTCGGATCAGTCCGTTGGAGAGAAGCTGAATCATTTTAATAGGGGTGATTACCGCTTCCTGTGCTTTGATACAGGCCAGTCTGGTACACTTCAACTCCCTGAGTGCAGAGGATGGTACACTGTGGCTTTGCAGGCATTCACTGTGGTGGGAGGGACATGGATACAAATGGAGAGCATTAAAACATACTAGGCATTATCTCCTTTGACTCTCCATCATTATGGTCAATGACAAAGTGTCTCCACCCACAGGGAATGTAGCTGGAGGATAGTGGTAGTGGGAAGTGGTCGGCAGTGGCTTATTCAGAGGGAGCAACCAAGGACTGTATCCTAGTTGCCTAGCTGCCATTTTCCCTGCATCAAGGACCAAACTAGTCTCTCCACAAGCCGCGTTTCAGAAAATGATCAATGAATGGAGGCGGCCACTTTAATGCATCACGAACGAGTGCTTTGTCAGAGCCAGGGTCAGTGTAATATCGAATGTAGAGGCCTGTTTATTCTTTCATTTCAAGGATTTTCCTCTTTGATGGCAAGAAAACAAGTCATTAAGATGTGACTTTAGTCGGCAATAAGTGACATGAATGTGTCAGCTAAGCTTTGCGTGGTCAACAGAGGAAAGCTACGGCACTTTAATCTCAGAAAGAGGGACTCTGGAAAAAAAGATAGAAAAGGATGATGCTGGAAAGCATGATTTTTGGCCATGACATTTAAAACAAATGAAGGAGAGCCTGCAGCTTCATTCAGACACTACCCACCCCCAACACCATACGTAAGCCCTCTGGCATGAAGGTAGAGACGTGTGAAACGCAGAGGAACAGCTTTTATCCTCAGGCCATCAGACTGATCTGCAAATCCAATCCACCTCACCATGCAGGAAGCACCCATTTCCTATTGATAAATAACAATATAAGCCAATATTGTTTTGACTAAATCATGATTTCTATAATAACAATGGATCACATAGCGATAGGGGTCACTCGTACTGAAGAGCCCACGGGTCCCCTCAGCTCCTCAGAGCGTTTCTGCATCTTTCAGCTCATTGTTTAGCCTTCCAGCCTCCAACTTTACTGCTCAATCTCATAGCGTCGTTTTCAACTAGAGCATGCAGCTTTTTTCAGAGAAGAAAATCGAGCATGTGGACAGAACCACGACTCCAAATGAATGATAGTGTTGTTCCGTAACTGCTGAATGTGTAAATAAGCTAGTGCAAACATATCTTTTGCATTTCTCCGCTGAATTTTCTTGTTATTTATTGGCCAAAATATACAGATAACGATATATTGATAATAAGCCATTATTGGCAATAGGACATATCAGCCCCCAGTAGGGCTGCTCTGATCCGATACACAGTATCAGAATCCACAGTCACCTTTATAAGCAGATTGGCCATCGTGCAACTCATGCACATTAAATACAATTTTTAAATTGTGATGGCCGCTGACACAGATTTTAGAGCCTCATGTTACCTTACAAAAAAGCGATGCTCCGTATCAGCAGTTACTCCGAGTCTCGTAAAGAGACTTTGTGCATCCGTATTAATCAATAGTCTCTAGTCGGGTGGTAAAACACGTGTCAGACAAACATCAACATCCTCACTGGGAGTAGCGGGCCCCCTCCTGCTTGCACATTTACAACACCTGCCAACTGGGATCTCTGAAGGTTACTTAATTTGCTCCCACAGAGTATCAGCAGCTTAAGGCTCTGAAATTAGCCACAAGGCAAAGTGGCAGTGAAGCAGGAGGACCGGCTTCAGTGGCGAAGATCTCATTAGCCCGCTAATGCTAGAAAACAAGGGCAGGAAGTGTGGCCAAAGCACTGACACCGCCGCGGGCTTCCTCCCCAAAATCCTATCAATATCTAATCAGGCATAAGGTTCACAGTATGGCCCCCAGCTGGTGTTGAAATACAATCTTTGTGTGGTGGAAAATGTACACTGAACTAAAAGCAAACATAGCAAAAGCACAACAATACCTTCAAAATAAAAAGGTAGAATGAATGCAGCAAAAGAGCCCATGTCAGTGTTATGTGGTTTAATATTGTATTCTTATTACTGCTGGTATTGTTGTAGCTGGTGGAGGTGAAGCTAGTTTCAACTACTTGACTGTTTTTATTTTCAACAATGCATCATATTTCATAAACTACCCACCGGTTTAGTGTGTCAAATATTAATCTGCTAAGTAACTCCTCCGTGTAATGCCGTTGAGTCATATGAAATGTGATAACTCAAGTAAAGTACCTCAAAGTTGTGCTTTAGCATAGTACTTGAGTAAATGTACTTCCACTGCAGGTGTGTGGAGAGCTGCAGAGGGATGATCCCTCTTGGACGCTGACGGGGAAACCTGATGAGGAAGCTACAGTTGAAAAGGGGGAGCAGCAGGAGGAGGAGGAGGAGGATAATCTACATCTCTTCCTCTGACCAACACTCCTTCCCCCCCAGTCCATTTTTAATCCTTAAGCAAAGCTGCAGGGCTTCTCTGCCCCAGGAGGCCTGTTGTGAGCCCTGCTGGGTGACAAGGTGACTCCATTAAGACGCACAGGAACTAGCAAATGGGACTTTCTCAAAGTCAATCAGGGGCGAGGACGCTCCGCACGATGTGTGTGCGCGCCGAGGATGTGGGCGAGGAATGCTTGTTCCTCCAACCTGGCCGTTGTGCGGACAGTAAATCACGATGATTCACTGGTGTTATTCAGAGGCGCTTCACACACACACACACACACACACACACACACAGATGAAGGCCTTGGGGAAATCAGAACAGCCTCCAGGTAGGAATGTCTGACTGTTTAGTGCAGCAGATGAAGTGTCGAGTGAGCTTTATGAATCACCGATCTGGAAGAGATTTTTATGATGCTGCTCCTCAGGAAAAACAGGTCTGCCGCCATGCCAAGCAGCACAAAATGAGATGATGACGACAAAGATTATGAAGTTTACGCTGCGGCATAATATATTACAACAGCAAACCACAGTGTGTCGGATGTATCATCTTCCCAGTTTCACTACGAACAAGGTGACTACAGGCCGATTTTTATTTATTTATTTTTGCTCAGCTTGACACCACCAGAGTCCAAATTCAAGAAACAAACAGGTTTCCACAGGGAGAGCCCATCCTCCACACGGCCCGTCCCCGAATTTCCAACAATACAAACATCCCCTCCTTAAAATTGTCTCATTTGAGGGAGGACGGACACGTCTTTAGGGGACAAAGACCCAGCGGTAAAAAAATTTGAGATTTACTGTGTGATGGCACAACGTTGACTGCCTGAGACCTTTAGCAGTTTGGGGTCTTCCATTCAGATGCTCTCTGTCAGCAGAATAACTTATTCAAAGAGGAAAGGACTTGAAGTCAAGCAGCACTAACAGAGGACCAAAATAAACTCTGGAATTTGTGTCTCTGTGGTCCAATGGAAATAGAATAACTTCAACCAAAGTGGTCCCTAAACGAATGTAAGCCAACAGTGCTCGCAGTGTTTACAGTGTCTGTAAACCCAGACATAGTGTTTCTCTGCTACAAACCCGCCATTCTGTTTGAAGAAAGAAAGAAAGAGACCAAGAACATGAAGTCACCACAGATGGTCCCTCAAATTTGGGAGTTGATTTTCAGTTACAGCCCCTGCTGTTTCTTTGTCATAGTTGTTATCATGTTGTACAAAAACGACCCCAAAATAAATGGCTGCCTGCTCTGTGCGGCTACATGCTTCAGCTCCGATCTGATCTGTGGGGAAGAATAATTAAAAACAACACGCTGCAGTAGTTTCTTGAATGAACTGTGACATAACGAGGGGCATCACGCGTGTCTGACTTCACACATTATTGTGTCTCGCGAAGCATCGTTTCCGCCGACTGAACAATTAACTGAGGCTTGAATATGAATTTATTAAAATAAAAATGTCTCTTTTTTGACGGTTGTAAGTTCAAAGGGCCCTTTCTCTATCTGCCGAGCGGTTCCCCGTTAATTCAACGAATATTCAACAGCTGTCCGTCTGCTTTTCATTTCCGTTAAATCGGTGCAATGTGTCATTTGTTGTCTGCTAATTTGCACAACTGGATACAAAGTTTCTCGTCGCCCGTAGGGCTGCGTTATCTTGTTACTCACGTCCCAAGGACTTCCTTGAAGTCAAATATCTTCTTGATATCATCGACAAGCTTTTTCCAAGATCCATCGCTGGACTCGCCGTTTTCTTTCGCCATTTCGCACCAGGGGTGCGGAGAGAAGGAGAAGGAGGAGAAGAAGAGACGCTGCTGGAGGATCACAACAGTCGTCTCACTCAGACACAGCAAAAACAAAAAAACAAAAAAGAAAAGTAGTGCACTTCTGTATTTCGCCAAGGGTTTCCTGGCTATGTGTCAGACTACCTTGCTTCCTCAGCCCATGCATGCATGCAGCCAGGCAAGCCCGAGCAGGAGAGGTATGTCCTACCCAGAGAGGTTATTTGACTAATCTGTTTGACGTAGCGGATCCCGACTCTGAGCTTCCCCGCTGTTCAGATCACTGTTGACGGGGAAACCAGGCTCTCCCCCTCCTCTTCCTCCTCTCTCTCTCCTCCCCGGGGCGGGATTCAGTCAGTGTCGAGGCGGCGATGCGGTGAGCTGAGGTCGGGCTACCTGCAGGTTGATGACACTTGGCAGTCACATCCGAGCCGCTGTGTGTGTGTGTGTGTGTGTGTGCGTGTGTGCGTGTGTGTGTGTGTCATCGAGTCCCACCGACCGCCCTGTGGTTGTTCTAGCAGTGGGAGGAGTGGGAGGTCTGTCTGACAGCATGCACGATGAACGATTTAAGTGTTCGCATTGCACCAAACCACCGGCCCGGTGGTAACTCTGCCGGACCGGTCGGAGTCAGTGTGTCTGCTGAGAACACGTTTAAGACATTTCTCGTGTTTGTGTGTGGTTGTTGCACAAACAGTTGCTTTCATTTAAAGATGAGTTGAAATGCAGGGGCGTAGCTAGGAGTAATGGAGGTGGGGAGGGGGGGCTTGGTTCCCTTAAACTTTCCTCCATGTTTGGTGTGTTTGTAGCCTTGTAGATGTCAAACTGCCTCAAAACCAGACACAATGTGCATAAACGTAGACTGGGTATCAGGCCTGGACTGGCCGCAGGGAGCACCGGGAGACTCGGACAGGTTTTGACTAGAAAGAATAATGTGTGGAATATAAAGATATCTCTGGTTTTGCAGCATCGATTTTAGTTTTTTACTTTAAAAAGAACAATTTAATTTTAAAGATTGTCAGACGATTGAAGATGAACTGCCTGAGATGAGGCTGCAGCAGCAGGGGGCGATGACAACAAGCTGCAGTCAAGTTTCCAGCAGCCTTCAAAGAACATACGGAAAGACAGAAATAATGACATCCCGCTAGATCTGATCTGTAGGCTACCTGTAGTTTGCAGATCACTTTCGGATTTATGAATATTTGTTTGCAAATATACATAAATGTGTGCATCGGGCATTGTTTTCTATCTTTCTTCTTTTTACGTCTGCCTTGTAAAGCACTTTGGATGCTCGTTTTGATAAGTGACAACCAGAAACTACAATTACACAGAAGAATAGGACTTTCTACAAAACCTGGAGCTTGTTGTCCAAACTAAGAGCCAATCAGCTCTTGGATCAGGCAACAGCCAGGCATTTCCCATCATGCCCTGGGTCTTGCAGTCAGTGGGAGAGCAGCTGCGGCTCTAAAAACTGCAGCCACCCCGATCTCAGGAGGTTAATGTGCATGACGTCTGAGCAAGTCGGACACTAATCTCACCAGCATGCATTGTGCGGCCATCGTGGTGATTGATTCAGCGCAGGCCTGGCTCATCTTGAGCGAGCCTTATGTCATAGGAGTGCAAACCTGAATCAGTGGAGACTTTGTAACTTAACATACATGAATTCAACAATTTATAGAATACTGTTCACCAACTTTACTTTGTTATCCTCCAGTGTGTCCCCGATGAAATAAGCCGTTACTACAGAAAGTTAGTCCGAAGCCGTCTCTCTTCAGCAGGTGGTGATTGTAAAAGTGATTCACAGTTGTAAACTGGCTTTCACAGTGGAGCACTTGGAGTGTAATTATGATCTACAGTTCATCATAAAACAATAAAACTATCAATATAATTACTTGAATGCCTATTCTCTTATTACAGAGTCAAATTGAACCGGCTCTTATAGCAGCATGAGATTAGGAGTAAAGAAACATGAACATGAAAATAGATTTATTTTAAAATATTTCCATTTGAAGTCCATCTGATTTAGTTCATTTACATTTGAATGCCTTCATGTTTTATTTCAGTTTGAACCATGATTAGATAATGAAGATGATCAAGTACTTCTTAGCCCAGATGTGTACAATGAAATGTCCAAATACTTCCAACTCAAGGATGGATAAACAACTCTTTTTTGTTTCTTCAGAAATGCAGTTCAAGTACTCCTGTTCTGACATACACTTTGAGGACATTAACACGTTATACTGATATTTTCTGTTCAGAACAGGACAAAAATGGACAACTTGTGCAGTAACATACAACAGGCCGCTGAACTTCTTCCTGAGAGCTATCGACGTCAAACCTGGAGATCTTGAAATTCAGCTCATGATCATCCAACTGCAACTGGAGCCGAGTCAGCGAAATTCACAACTGTTCAGAATAGGGATGCACCATACCGATAACTGGGCTTTGATCTCGGTCGATCCGATACCAGGGTTTCATTAATAAGCTGTACGTATGAGGGCCACGCTGGTTGTTCAGTGTGCACACAGAAACTAACAATGTGTCCGTCTCTCAACACTTTCTGACTTCCTGTCTGTGGCTCTCGGCTCCAAAATCCAGTGGTTACAACTGAAGCTCTTTAAAAACTCATCACATAAATGTAGTTTCTTGTTTTAAACGGACAGTTTTCATTCCTGAAACGTGGAGCTCGTACCCTTTTGATACAATCCCCAGTGCTACAAATACGAACAGACGCACTGTAAACATGGTCTCTAAGGCCTCGATTCACATCCCAACTATTAATAGTTGGGATTAATAGTTCGGATGTTGACACTGATGGTTCCTCGTGCTCGGAAAGCGTTGTCCTCTTTCATTCAATAGCACCTCGTCACTGAACACAAAGAATACAGCCTTAAATAAGAGAAAGAGGTGAAAAACTTTAGAAACAAGCAGACAAGTATTCTGCTCTTCCCTTCACACCATAAACACATTCATTAAAAACCTGTGTTTGACTATAAGAGTTAAAAATGATCAACACTACTCTCTTTAATGCTTCCTTTGTATTTGTTATTTATATTAACCAATTTATTGTATAAACCGAACATCGTTTAAAAAGGTCCCGGGTATCTGCAGTGTACATGTATTGAAGGACCACAGCAGATACCATGACATAGTGTTGTGCTGGTTATTTTGGTTCCCAGTCTGGTTGAGTCCTAGGAGAAGGTAGCGGTGAGGATGGCCTCTTGCTGCTGCTGATGGAGGATCCCGATGCCGACAGCAGGGGCGGGCAGAGCAGGTCGGCTTACTAACCGGAGCTGAGAAAGACAGAAGAGACGGTCTCGTATGTGTAACATCAACAACTCATTTTAGATCCATTAGGTTTCATATTGTACATCATATCATTTGAAAAACTGCTCACCTTGCAGGCCAGCTGCTTCTCAAACCTGGGAGCTACAAAAGACCAGGGGCCCATGTTCTGTGGCTCCTCCTGACTCCAGATGAACTCTGTGGGAGATTGTTTTTTTTTTTAACGATTTACATTTACAGTAAAAGACATGACTCAAACATGTGACCTTTCATGTAGTCTCGAGAGTTCTTCTCACTGAAACTGGATTTGCTTCAGCAGTAGTGCTTCAGGAGGAACAATAAAAGAGAGCGCCAAAGTGAAACCTGAACTTCCGCGGTTCCTCATACAGAATCATAAAGACATTTGAAATAATGAAAATAACTAAAACTCCAGCACACAGTGCCTTTTGTCAGACTCCATTTGTCTAGACAAGGATCACACGTTTAAAAAAAGGCTTCAATGATTTAGCTGATAAATTGATTTCTTGTTTTACAGAAAAACAATCAGCAATGATTATAATGTCGCTCAGGGGATGGAGCGGGTTGGTGGTCAAATTTCATGCATGTGACAATGACAATAAAGTTTAAGAGCGATTCATCGTTCCGTCTTCTCATATATGAATATTGCAGATTCTCTTAGTAGAAAAAAAAAAAAAAAAATTGAATATTTTTTGTTGTCAAGCAGCTGGTCCGACATTTTAATACGTGACCTGTAGAGTGAAACCAGCATGGTAAATGCTTCCGATAGCACCTAAAATGCTGGATCGGGTATCGGCGAGTACTAGCTCTGCTGTGCTGGTAAAAGATAATGGGAGAAGATTGAATGTCAACAAATGCATCGTTGTTGAACTTAAAATCCAACAGCTGCAGTAGATACTCAACTCTCTTAGCTTATGAATAATAAACCCCACAAACACATTTCACATGTTCAGACAGGCTGATGGGAGAATCCCTCAGAAGTTTCAGAATGTTAGCTCTCTATGTGAAACCTGCGTCCTCTCACGTGCTGTAATTGTGTTGCAGTTGGTTTGAAGAGCAAAAACAATCTTCAGCAAATACAGTTAAACCACAAAATGCAAAGATTTATGGGTAAAGAGACGGATGTTGACACTGATGGTTCCTCGTGCTCGGAAAGTCTTGCCTAACGAGATGAAGAGGTTCCCAGTCAGAGTCGGGATTGACACTCATTCAGCTACAGAGGGAGGACGAAACAACAGAAACACAATAGCCCCGCAGTGAACACCGGATACACTGATGCACCGGCATTCACGCCGTCTTTGTGAGTCGTCTACCGTTTTCTCGAGGATTCAGTAACAAAAGTGAAGACTGTCAGACGTCTATTGAAGTTGCCGCACGCTGCTGAATGGTTTTCAACTTGCTTTGACTCATTTGAAGAGCTGCTTTTGTAACAGTCTGTCTGCCCGACACTCACATTTTAGATTGGCTGTATCGAGCGACTCTGGCCCCGAGTGCATTGAAGAAAATTATTTTTTTCGCCAAGTAATCAATGATTGAACTCAAATTACTTTCTGTCAATAAAAAGGACATGAAAGTGTCACCTTTAAGATATAGCAGGAATATCTCAGCAAGACCAATACCTACAATGTGTGTGTGTGTATTGTTAGTGGGCCAGACTCATTTAAGGATTAAAACAAAATGTCGGCCCCACATTCATATCTTGCATCTGCTTTTTATTACATTGTAGGTTTTTAATTCTGCCCTATACCTACAAAATACAATACAAAAGTATAATATGAATACATTTGCATTGACTGTAGGATTACGTGGCAGAGCAAAGGGGAAGTTACTCAGAAATCATGACGTATGCGAAACACAGCAAACATGTCAGAAAAGAGGAACAGTGGAAACAAAGAGACCACAGATTACATCACACCGTACTACAAACTACCATGTAGCTGAATATACAAATCAAAGACATAGTGGACTTATCATTTATCTCTCAAGTCATTTTAATGCCTCTTAAAAATGTCCCTTTGACCTTTGTGAGGTAAAAATGTTCCTGGACTAAGTTGTTGTTAACTAACTGTTGTTGTGATGGCACTTATGAAGCCAGTGTGCCTGCTAACAGTCAAGCTGGACGTCCCACACATACCTTTGGCGTTGGGGTATTTTTTGAGCTCCTGCTGCAGAGCGTCCAGCGGGAACGGACACAGCTCCTCCACTCGGACTAGAGCCGTGCTCTGCTTGGCTGCTGACGTCTCCCTCTGTTTCAGCAAGGCATAGTAGTGCTTCCCCGAGCACAGCACCACCTTCTGGACACTGCATGGAATAACAGAAGCATGTATGGGTTATACTTTTGAAGAGTCTTCCACGTTCTAGCAGGTAATAACTATATTTCACCACATTGAGGACACACTACAGAAATCATCAAATGTTGCGACTTCTGTACCTTTCTGCTGCGACTGAAGTATCGCCCAACACTGTTCTGAAAGATGTTCCTGGTGCCAGTTCACTCAGACTGGATGCTGCCCCCTGAGGAAACAACACACGCTGTTGAGCCACTTGCATGAACATACATCTGTGTAAAGGAGTTAGAATTATGTTATACACGTTACTGCTTACAGAAAATCTGAGCAGTGTCTTGGGTCCGACCACAATGAGAGGTTTGCGGAAGTTACGGATCATCTGCCTCCTCAGCAGGTGGAAGTACTGAGCAGACGTGGTGGGGTTGACCACCGCCATGTTCACACAGTCACTGTCCACGCCCTCTTCTTTACTGTCGCACATCTAAAAAGGGACCAAACAGGACGAGTTAGCAATCAGTTACAAGTCAGGGAATGTGTAACTTAACGCATAAAGCTGCCGGTAGAACACACACATTCAGTTAAGAAACACCCAAACTTAATCTGTAAACCAGTTAACAAATAACAGCAGCGATAGAGCCGTGCTCTGAAGAATACAATAAATTAAAACGTTCAGAAACGCAGAGATGTGTCAGCAAACTGGGAGTGACAGGCTGGGAAAAAAAGACCCAATTTCTGTATTCTTTTTTTTTTTTTTTTTGCATGAAACTACCCTCCACCGATATTCAGGAAATGTTAATATAATACCAAAACTAGAATATCCGCCTCCGCCAACAGTTCAGACATGTTTTATGAGGACACATTGACCTTTGACCTCCCGAATCTAATCAGTTCATCCTTGTCCTAATTGTGCAAGTGGACATTTGTATTTTGAACAAATGCCTTCAAGGCGTTCGTGCAATATGAGAGTGCGTTTGAAACGCAGCATCGATCTTATGTCTGCTGATTGCTAATGGACAATTAAGAAACATCACATCTGTGGATTAGTTATTGATTACATCCGTTAGTGGTTTGTAAGTTACAGCCTCTGTCCTGCATTGGTACTGAAGAGAGCTGATATGGATTTCTGCACCACAACACTTGTTGTATTTTGCATTGGACACTGAAAATCAAATAGGTGGAGAGAAAAGGTTACCTCTGAGCTGGCTGACCTAAAACATTTAATTCATTAATTCAACAGTCGGTGAATTTGCAGGACTTCAACATGTATTTATGCAGCGTTGAGATGAGAAAGATCCACAAGATCTGACTAATCGGGACAGTTGTACGATAGCAAACATGGTTGTGTGAAGGATAATGCGTGTTGTCATCAAAGCACTTTATCCAGTCAATCTGGATTTAATGAACTGGGATGAAAGGCTTCGGCTGACCTGAGGCATCTGGGTTTGTTTGGTTTTCAGGCAGTAACGTAACATTAAGTGCCAAGTCAAGCATATCGTTTCCCAGCTCAAATTAAAAACTGGGATGCTGCCACGAACGCTACGTAAAGTCATAAACCGCTACCTTGGTTTGACATGGATTACCTGGAGGAAGCGCTCCATACGGCAGGACGAGTGTTCAGGTCCGGCTCCGTCGTAGCCGTGCGGCAGCAGGATCACCATCCCGCACTGTAGCAGCCACTTGGCTTCACCTGGGCACCACACAGCAGTTTCACATCTGACGTGTGAAGATTTTTCCCAAAATGTACAAGATAATGAGAGTCATAGTCAGACGTTTACCTCCAGTGAGGAAAGTGTCAAAGATGATCTGCGCTCCGTTAAAGAAATCACCAAACTGAGCCTCCCAGATGGGAAGTAGCTTCGGCTGTGCGATGCTCATACCGTATTCAAATCCAAGCACCGCCTCCTCAGACAGCGGGCTGTTACACACCTAAAACGCACAAAGATGTCACAAGAATTAAGGTGATGATTATGTCACGCATTAGATTATGTTTTATCTCGTTGATCGGGGGTTTTACCTCCAGGAAACCCGTCTGCTGAGGGCTGATGTGGTTCAGAGGGATGTACATGTCATTAGTGTCTTGACACACCACCATGGCGTGTCGCTGACTGAACGTGCCTCTTCCAACGTCCTGTCCGCTGATTCGAACATCGAAGCCTGTAACAGCAATAATGTGAAATCTACAAATCCACTTCCTGACAGCAACACGACGAGAGGATTCTTACGCTTGCTCTGCTGAACACTGACCTTGGGAGAGGAGGGAGCCGAAGGCCAAGGCCTCGGCTGTGGACCAGTCCAGTCTGGTCCCTTCTTCCAACTTTTGCAACCGAGCCTGAGTTCACAAAGAAAGAGAAAAAAACATCATCCAGCTGCTGCCAGGTCGACAAAAGACAATAGAAACGACGGAGACGATGGCCGCACCTGTACATGGGTCTTTCTAAGGTGGCTGTGCAGCTGGATTTCCTCAGGGATGTCCACAGATTTCCCTCCCACAAACTGCAGCAGGGGAACGGGGACGCCCGTGTCCCAGGTGGTGACTCGGGCCTGGGGCTCCACCAGACCCGCCCAGCGGCCCTGCAGGTTGGTGGGCAGCGGGCTGTACAGGGTCATGTTGGACAGCTTGTCGTTGAGCATGCCGTAGTGTTTGGACTTGATCTCCTCGCGCTCGACTTCGGTCATCACACCCTCAGAGATCAGCTGGTCTGAGTAGGAGTCGGGGATGCTCTTACGGGATCTGAGCCAATGTGACAATGTCCGTTTCATTAAGAAGTCAACATACAATATATCTGTAGGGGGATAAAAGCTTTGTTAATCTACACAAATAATTCTAAAGTGCTTCAGGAGGTAAAAAGTTGCAGCCACACGCGATCATTACTTAGTTAAGGTTTGTTTTTAGCACGACACTCAAGGTTTTATTATTTTTGTTTGAAAATGTTTGCCCTTCGCAAAAGCACTTCTCTCTGGTCTACCAGCTAGGTCTTGGAACATGGACCTTTGTAAAGTTTTAAATGCAACTGTAAATAAATTGGACCTTTTATTCAGATTAAAAGAGTTTATGGATACTTTCTTTTAGCAACACTGAAATTGCACATAACCAAGGCTGACATTAATTGGCAACCGATGGTTAACCGCTGCCTCGATTGGTTAGTTTGTTGTGACACAAAGTAAACCGAGTCAATTTCACCGACCGGATGACCTTGTACATGGCCGGGTTGGTGAAGAAAGGCTCGTCCAGCTCGTTGTGGCCCCACTGACGGTAGCAGATCAGGTCCAGGATGACGTCTTTCCTGAAAAGCCGCTGGTACTCCACAGCCAGCCGAGTGGCCCGCATCACGTCCTCGGCATCGTCGCCGTTTACGTGGATCACAGCACAGTTCACCATCTTACCTGTGGTACAGATAAGTATGAATTATTTTTAACAAATCCGCTTTCAAAATACTTAAAAATTGCACAAAAGCACATTTTTCAAATACAGATCGACAGAGGCGTCCATGCTAGATAGGAAAGTAGCACATATTTTATCATGTTTATATGTTTCACTGACCAACGTCACTGCAGTACAAAGAGGATCTCCCCCTCTCGGATGGAGTGGTGTAACCCACTTGGTTGTTCACAATGAGGTGGATGCTCCCACCGACTCTGTAGTGGGGGAGGTTGGAAAGGGTCAACGTTTCTGGAACGATCCCCTGGCCGGGGAAAGCGCCGTCACCATGGACCTGTGGAGAAGAGAACAGAGATCGACTTGATGTCAGGCGGATCAATATGTTTTGCTGCTGCCCCCCTCCCTCCACAGCAGTACTTTTAGCTGTTGTGTACCTGCAGACAGACGACTTGGTCCCCCGGCTGGGCGTCGTCTTCGGGTGAATAGTCTCCTTCTTGCCTGAGCTGCTGCCTGGCTCTGGTTTTGCCCTGAGCCACGGGGTTGATGGCCTCCAGGTGAGAAGGGTTGGGCAGCATGGTCACATGAAGAGGTTTTGCGGCTCCGAAGTCCAACTCCACGGAGGAGGTGAGGTGGGAGAGGACGTCGCCGATGGCTAGCGAGGTCTCGGGGAACTCGCTGAGGCCGCGCATCTTACGGAACATGAGCTGAAGAGAAAAACCCTTGTTTACCCTTAGGCAGCTGGCTGCAATTTTCTGTTTACTTGCGCTGCCGATTACAATCGTGGAGAATAAACAATCTAATCTCGTCACGGATAATTTGAAAGTGTGCATGTCTCAATTAAAGGCTGATTAACCTCTGGCGGCAACTTCAGCAGGCCCGTCAGGAGGTTGAGTCGGCCTCTATGAGGCATGCCGATGATAATGTCCGTGACTCCGCTGTGGGACGACTGGTGGAAAAGCTCCTGGAAGAAGCCCATCATGCTCTCTGCTCCTTCTCCTCCGTAACGTTTCACAGTAGAAAACTTGGTGGCCAGAAAGTGGTCAAATTCCTGCAGGTGGTGAGAGAGGAGTAAAGAAACGGATGGATTAAAAATATGAAACATGATGAGATGGATCAAATAATACAGCACTGCATCCTCTTCTTTCTTCTTGGAACCTACCTGAGACTCCAGCATGATCTTAGCCACCTGCTTCCTCTCCTCCGTGGAGAAACTCTTCTTCTTGAGCTCCTCAAAGCGGTCAGCGACCCACTCCCTCTCCTCCAGGCTGCTCAGCTGGATGGTCTCTACCGACAGGTGGCCACAGTAGGCTCCCTCCAGGTAGGCCTTAACCTCTTCCACCGAAGCCTCCGCTTTGCCAAAGTGCTGCAGACCTGCAGAAGCACATCGAATGAGCGCTGACAACACAGACAAGCGAGTTTCTGACTGTGCCTTAAAGGCAAACATGAGGGAGGAGTGAACAGAGGAGAGCATTGTTTTGGCGTTTATCATGTTTGATGTAATGAGATCACAATTGTCTTTCATACCAATCTTATCTAATTAAGGACAATGTTTTACCGACTGCTGGTTTATGGTGAAGCAAATGTAATTAGCTGACTTTTCACAAACTCATAAGCACTTTTATTTTAACCTTAGCTGATCCTCCAACCCTCTCCATCCTTAGGTTTCTAAAACAATAAGATGTAAAAAATAAATGAAATCAGTTATTTATACAGCACTTGTAAAAAGCCAAAATACTCAGGTAACTGGCACCGCTAGAAATTATGAAAATACCAATAAACAAGGCACCAAATAACAAACGTAAAAATATAATAAGCATCAAATTAAGAAAAGGAAAATAATAATTACATAATAAAAAAAAGTCTGTTATAAAGTTTATCAGGTTGGTTTGCTAAATTTCTTTACATTTGTCCTTTCAGAGATATATTTTCACTTGGCCGGCCTGCACATTAAATTTAAATTACATTTTGTGTGCAATAATCAAGTAACATTTGTACATACTTGTACATTATTTGAATGCTTTAATTGTATCTTACGTTAAGGTTCTACTTCACTTAAGAGAGAAGATTGTACTTTTTACTCCAGTACATTTATTTGATAGGTGTAGTTACAAGTTACTTCCAGACTCATTATTTTGAATACAAATTATAAAATATGATAACTTGTAATAAATTAAACTGCACAACACTCTATAAAATAGTTCAAACTAGCTCCACCATGACAGGCTTAACGAGTATAAAGCTACTTAATACATGACTGCATCAGAAATATTAAACAAAAAATACAATACTTATATACTTTTACTTACATGTTACTTGTATGGTATTTTGTACACTGCTGTAGTACTTTAACTTGATTTAAGAATCAAAATACAACTTCAGAGAATGATTATCAGTGCTTATCCTGCAGTGCATGAGAACATCAGAATAACATGATGGATTACAAAGTGTTGCATGTTTATTAATGCACCATAGATTGTGTACATAACCACCACAGCTGTCGTGTACCTGAGGTGTTAAGGTGTCCAGTGATGGTGCCAGTCAGCATGTTAATCTCCGGGACGCTGTCAGCAACAGGCTTTTCAGGTAGTAAGGGGTTAATCTTCGCAGCCTTGTGCCCATGTGCTCTGTAAGCCTCCACCAGACGGGCAAGACCATGATCTGCAAAACAGGCCCCCAAAAAGCACACTTCAATGTCAGCAACACAGCTACTGATACCCTCGAGCTGAATCAACAATACGCAATTGACAGTTTAAATGGGAATAAGTTATTTTACACAAGCTGGAATCAAGTGAAGCTGCAGAGTTATACTTAGTACTTATTTGACTTGGTATCGGTCATAGTGTTAAGTTGCTGTTAGTCTAAATTAACCCCATACTGACCTTGGTTGAGTGCTGCGATGCGGTCGTCCTGTGACTTGTGGTGTCTCTCAGTCTCTTTGGGTCGGTATCCGAAGACACCTTTCTCGGTGTGATAACAGCCGGCGACCACCTTCCGAGCGACAGCCGGTGGCAGTCTACTCAGCGACTTTCTCAGGAAAAGTACAGCCGACATTGTTTTTAAAAGGTGTAATTAAAGCTATAATTCTTGTGAAGACACGCCAACAGCTACAGGACGGCGGCCATACTTATCTACGACGTTATGGGAGGAGACGCCGCACTGGAAGCTGATTGGCTGAGGTCCTCACAACCCTGTTACGAGAATATCTTCCCCTTTTAGTTTATTTTTTATTACTTTTGTCTCATATTTATTAAAAACACCTGATTTGTATTTGTAGTACACGATAATACGTTTTGGGGCAACGGTTCCTTGTGTTCAAGCTCGAAAAAAAAAAATCCTGAAGTAGCCCCCGTTACGTAGCGCAACAAGTGTCAAAACAACATGGTCAGTGCTGCGTTCAGGTGATCCTTGTAAATTCCAGTATGCACATTTAAAAGTTGGAAAACAGGATTTCACGTGATTTTGGTATGAAATCGACCCGTCTGTATTTTTCTATATGTTGCTTTGTGTCGATATTCATTGCTCTACAATTAGCCGTACGTTTAAATAGCATACAGGGGACGAATTCAAGTGAGGATCATATGTTATGGCCTTCACAATCTCAACCCAATGTCACACTTATGAAAGATTTTGGAGCAATTTGAAAGTAAGCTTTCCACCAGACAGAGCTCTACACCAACTGCAGATTTACCCTCCAAAATATATTTTTAATGTCATGATGAAATCAAACATTTGGCTTCTAATTTTCCATATATGTCGGTCCTTGCTCAAACATCCTGTTTCAACACAACAGTCTACGTTCAATTAACGAGGAAGGTGATCTCTGAATAATTTCTTCCAAATGTATGTTTTGATAATTGAGATCAGGGAAACGTCATCATAGTCCCATGTGGTCAATTCAAGCTAAAAAATATTCATATTATAATAAATATCTTTCACACTCTGGCTGGCTGCCACTTCTGGACCCATGTTGGTAAAGCAGAACATTTTTCAGCTATCCTAAACCCTAAATCAGGTTTTGATATTAATCACCCAAAACAAAAAAGCTTCTATGTTAAAGCTTCCGTTTTATATCGGTTCAAAAGAGGAAACTCTAGAGTAGAAGCAGATGATGCCAGTTTCTCCACCCACACCACCGTCTTCAGACCATGATGCAAGGCAGCAGGACAAGTTGTGTCTTGGTGGAGTAGGTGAGGCTCTCTTTGTCCCAACAGAAATACCTTTATTATATCACGTTATACTGAGAGTACTACGCTGCTAAAGCTATCTCCACATACACAGTAAAAAATACATTTTCAAGGAGTTGTGGGCACTCGAAAAACCAAAACGATCAGGAAAATAATGGGGATTTTTTGGTATACCGTTTGGTTTTTGGATTGTTTTGGGATATTTGCTGTCAGGGTTGCATCAAATGATTATTTCCATTATTGATTATAATTGTTTGGTTCTTTCATGATATGGAAGATGGAGAAAAGCTTAATATCCTCACATTTGAGGGGCTGGAAGTATTGAAATACTCAATTATCAAAATGATCGCCAATTAGATTCTGGTGACTAAAAATAATGAATCTTAACTCAACTAATCATCTCACTGTAGGTTGTCTAAACTCAAGGTGTTCACAACTATTAACTCAGCTACATATTGACAGGATATATTAGTTTACACCTGTAGACGTGCAAGCGACCCAAGTTATAGAAAGAAGTTTTATAATTGAAACCCCAAATAATCACCACTAACACTGAGAAATAAGCAAAGAGAAGCACAACGAAGAGAAACAAGTTAGCGAGACATGACACACTGGGGGAGGGGGGGGGGGTGGTTTGTAAAATGTCTTTACAACACTGGACAAGCACAACACACAAAGACACAGTCCATATTAGGGGAAATGGTTTAATTTGGAGACAGAGGCAAAGAAACACACCACACATGAACAAACATTGACCAAAAAAAAGAACACAGAGTCTTTCGGCTACGCACTCCGCTAATGGGGGAAAAAACAGAAAACTCTACACAGGTAAAAAGCAAGGCTCCAACTAAACACATAGTTAACTCTTCAACTAAGACAATTAACCACACAAGTTGTCAAAATCCTGATGACCATTAAACTATGTGGACAGCACAAATACTAACATGAAACTTACCACGATTTAGAGGATCCCTCCCCCCCCTCCCTCCCTCCCTCCCCTACCCCAGAAACTGAAGCTGATTAACGAAGTGAGGAACACGTAGAGATCTAAATCAGGCATCTTTTAGAGAGTAGAGAGAAAAAACAAAAACAAAAAAAAAAAAATTGCTTGACACCACCAAGAGGCCAAACTCGAGATCAGGTCACGGAGAGGCCACATAGAGAGGCCAGACAATTTTTTTTTTTTTTCCAATATAGATTTTTTTTTTCCTTTAATTTCCAATATAAAAAGCTGCACTGGTACAAAATACATATGAACAACCAGTTGTAGAAATTGGAAAGCCTGTGTATGCGTTTTTTTTTTCTTTTTCATATCCCACCCAGTTTCAAAGAAAATGTATATTGACTGAACAGAAGAAGAAAAACAAACTACTGTATGTATAATACAGATCACATCAAGATGCACCCACTTTGGCTTTCATCAAGATAAAACATCTATTAAATTATTGGTGGAACGTGAACAAAGTCCGACCGATCACACGAGAAAATAACAGGAAAAAGATATTTTGTTTCCCTCTTTTCTTTTGGATCAAGACAATATCTATAGAGATGCAAAGTTACCACACTTGTCAAAAAAAAAAAGGAATAGCACTTCAGAATATGAACACAACAGAACAAAGAAAGTGATTGTTAGAGCTTGAACGGGATTTTGTGATGGAAGCCCCTGAAGTGAGTCAAGTTCCGGTTCGGACCGCTGTGGACTGTACATTGTGCTTTTTTTATTCATTCACAGTAACACTTCACCATTCACGGCATATACCAACCACACATCTGCAATCATTTCAGTGTTTGACACACAGTTTGAGCATTTAAGGGATCTTATTATCAAGGCAACCAAGTCGTCTTCTTTTTAAACTCGAGTTTTAGCTTTTTGTTTTTAACTTTAGTGGATTTTAAAACAAATTCCCCGACACACGCGGTCACTGATCATTTGTCGTGTTACAGTAGACTAAGAAAGAGGTTTACCGTCAAATCTATAGGGAAGTTTATTATTTATCTACAGGTTCTTTTAACCAACTGTTCAAATGGAGTACAACACACATTTACCAATAACTCAACACACAGAGTGTGTGTGTGTGGGGGGGGGGGGGGGGGGATAAACACGAGCAGGTGACAAGCGCTTTCATGACACTGGCATAGACACAAAAAAAAAAAAAAAGGCGAACTGCAGCAATCTCTAAACCAAGGCCTGATAAGGATGTGTAGGCAGTTTCTAGACGTATATATGGCACTTTGAATATTGTATTGCATTTGGATAGAAAAAACACACTGTAAAAAGCACATGCCCATATTAAAAAGTGAAGTCAGTGGTACCTTGTAAATTTGGGGATTATATCACACTCAACATTCTGCAAAAGTGATTAGCTCCCACAATTCTGCTTGACATTTCCTTACAAAACGACAACACTTTCCTTCGAGCACTGATTCAAATTTGGTACCTCTTTAGATTTTTTTTTTTTTTTGGAATATTTATGTATTTTGAGAAAAGAAATAAAAAGAAAAGAAAGGTCAAATGGTGATAATTGTGCATTTGTGTCGTAATCCTGTGTGGGCGTCTAGTTTCACACACAAAAAAAGCCCCTGAGTTTGACAACTCTTCAGCGCCATCAGGTACGCAGCTTTAGGGAACCCTTCTTTTGGGGTGAAGTGGTTGTTATTTTTACCAGGGTTGTCTCAACTAGTAGAACAACAGACTAAATAACACCCTGGTAAAAAAGAAAAGTGTAAACCTTTGTGCTGAAAAATGGAATGTATTTGTAAACCAACACGTTTTGTGGTGGACTTGGTAGTATTGATGTGCTTCGCATCGTGTACAACTGAAACAAGATACTGGAAGTCAATTAAAAAGAACTATCAGCCAAAAACTAAAATAGAAAAAGCAAGTGCGTGCATGTGTGTCTATAAAAATATGCAGAGACCGTCAGGTCGTGTGTTGTATCCAAGTGATCTCTACTTCAGGGGCTCCCACATTTGCAACCACAGAAAAAGTGTTTTGTGTCAAGGTGTGTGTGTGTGTAAAGAAAACTAGGTTATATTACAGGAAAAATTGTGTGAATTAAAAAAACAAAACAGAGTTTGACACATGGGCACTTTAACAACAAATTCTAACAAAAAGACATTGTCTGGCATCTGTATGATTAACAGACATTGTAAATCATCGTTCAACATGAGGCATCCAAACTAAACCGAAGAGAAACGTCCATTAATCAAATGAATTAGAAAGTCAACAAGACGTACCATGGAAGTTGAACACTAATTTTTTCTTTAACGCAGGAGAAATAATTAAGTCTACATACTGTGACCCTTCACAAAAAAAAAAAAAAAAAAAAAAAAA